ATTGATAATTACGGGCTTATTCTTTGTTCGGGTCATAAGTGAAAGGGAACAGGATTTAGCACCTCACTACCACCCACTCCATGCCTACGAAGGTGGGGTGACGTAACTGAGGTACTAAAAAATCCCTCGGTGAACGTCGGTGCGTACTATAGCTGGTCCAGCGGCTGGTACACACCCGCGCAGATGTTGCCGGGGCCAAAAAATGTTGTCGTAGCCAACGTGGTAACCAGAAGTGCCGGAGGAGGTCATCGTAGTGCTGACAACACCAAATCCAGCACGTGCCCAATGCTCGCATCCAAATCCCAACCGTACTCGGGCGAGGCTTCCAAAGTTAAGCTTCTACTCCATGAATGCTAGAACAGGTTCGAGGCTGTACATCTCGGTGGTGTATCAATGAAGATCCCACAAGGAAATGAACTGTCGTGAAGTCAAAGTAGCACCATGGGAGTTACGCTCATGGAGTCAAGAGTCGAACTGCTGAAGATTCTCAAAAACAGGGGTGAAGTGAAGCAGCACGGGCGATATTAGTTTCACCTCAATTGTACACGTTAAAACTGCATGACGCGTCACCCCAAGTAAAGCACAGAGTAAGTAGTAATGAGGCTATGACCCGAAAAGCTTTAACTACTTAAATTTAAAAATTATCGAAAAACTAATCTTAGTTTTTTGTTTACCATCAATCTACTGCTTCGACTTGCTCTAATATTGCCAATGCTTTTCAAGTCTCAGTCTCAGCTTCTGTCTTTTTTGTCTCAGCCTCTTTAGTCTTTTTCAAGTCTCAGCTTCTTATTTGTGCAAATGCCAAACAGGAATTTTAACGGAGAAGTATCTTGTCCAAAAAAATGTAATTGCTTGCAAAACGTGTGTAAAACTAAAATTCAATAACTCAATCAACGCTACGAATCTCGAAGCGGCATTGAAAACGTGTCCTCATCCTCGATTTTTTGACTGTTGTTGCTCGAAACTTTTCGATGAAATAACCCAGTAAATATAGAATCCACAGATCATATTCCATCGAACATTGCGTCGGAAGAATCAGAGAGCCCGTTCTTCTCGAAATCTTCCAACCCTAATGTTTTTTTAGTGTATGCCTGCGCTATGGCTGGAAAGTGCAAGGACGCCGCAAATCAGAACGAGAGTCCGGAATTGATGAAATGTCATTCGACTGTCTGAAATAACTTAAACTTTATACAAAAAACACCCAAGATCTGTGCAGCATAAACTGTGCAGCATGTTTACGTTTTGACAACGAACTTAAGAAAAAGTAAAGGTTTTGCCACCCATGCGGACGAGATGAGAGCCACGCAAAGTCTGTTGAGAGCTGGCATGTTTTCAGCTCAGATAGGACTAAGCTTCCGTAATTTCACAATTTTGTGTGCGTTCCAATCTTTAATAACACAACAGAATGAGGCTAATTTATTAGAAAATCCACATTATGCAATTCCAACTATAAACAAAGCCAAATGCTTTGCTTCTGTAGAACAAATTGATGATGATGCATTGATGCTTCTGTAGAATATATTCAAAGCAGTTTGAATCATGTTCTCCTAGCGGCTGGACCCACAAGAAAAATTACCATAGCTGCCGATAATGTACTGCGCCGAAAGATGTTACCCGTCATGCAGTAGTCGTCGCGTACATTGATAAATCGGGCCTCCCACAGGAACACCTGTTGGGAGTCAAAATGACGTCAAGGCGACACTGCGGCAACAGCTGCTGCTCATAAGTCGACTGCTGACAAATTCGTTCCGATATGAGCTCCGTAGCTTTTAAATGCACCGGCAGTGCCTCTGTTTACGTTGGCAGGAAGTCCGGAATGATCGGACAATTGAAGAAAGAAATAGAATGTAACAAATTAAATTCGTTACCCGACCTGTGTCATAAGGTAGAAAACACGCTAGCTGCCGCTTCTCTAAAGTGGGTTTTGCAAGTGCTTGAGAAACAAAAGCCATAGATAGCTTCTTTTGTTAACGATCATTCTGCTTTAAGAAATGCAATGCAAGAATTTGTTAACATCACAATAGGTATAACATTTAGAATAATTCCAAGCCAATACCAGGCCGCTTTGCAGAATTTATTCACGACTATTCTGACGAACACGTAAGTTTCCGTGGAAGCTCTTCCCTCATTAGTATCGCCAAAATAATCTTAATCAGCCAACTCTACCCTCTACCGCCGTATGTCACTCTCCGGGAACATAACTTTCAACTTAAATCATACGTAAACTATTGAGTGTGGCATCATGCGGACGTTTGTACGCAACAGAGAACATTTTAAAGTTATACTTGGCAGCAACCATCAGTGCAGGTCATTTCGCGCTCACTACAGCAATGTATCTTTTTCGGGTAGACTTGTGCGAGTGTGACGGGCAATATTGCTCCGGTTACTCATGTCAGGCAGTAGAGGGTTAAGAGAGAATATCTTAACTTGAAAAATCGGCGCAAAAGATATGTTTCGGGCCCTTTGATTTTGAAGACTGTAAAATCTTTTAACGTAACGCTAGAGCATCTGTCAAAATGCCCAGATTCTCAGGCAGCATTTTATATTGCTGAAAGTGAGATTTTATCTTATTAAATAGGCAATGAAAGTCGCAGTATCAACCTCAAATCTTTGGCACAGAATTTGTCAAGTAAAACACGACTTCAACTGTCAAATCGCGAAAATGATGTATCAGATCATGAAAATTTGATGGGCAAATTTGAAGCTTAATTGGGTTTTCGAAATTAATCGCGCTGACGAAACATATCTAGCGACCCCAAAATTGTTTCGAAGATCGAGTCAGCTGCATTAGGCAGCTATTTTCAACTGTTAACGTCAATTCGCAGAATGTTGCGACACTTGTCTTGGTCCAAAAGACTGCATTTGTGTACAACGCGAGTTTGAAATATTCTTCAATCATTTCCAAAACAACTGGTATGGTTGTGGAGACAGCACTTTGAAAAACGGTAATAAAACCGTAAAATACATAGAAGCATTTTCTCAGTACTTAGCATATGATAGTTTATTCGCTCTAAATTGCATTGCCTTACTGACGAAGTAAGGCAATCCCTCATCTAAAGAAAAATATTGAGTTTGGTGATGCCGTGGTAACAAAATTAAACAAATTATGATTTTTTTCTTTACAAATTTCTTTATGTACCCTGCCCACATTAGCTATTATGAATAAAATTCATGTTGTTTATTTTTTGTTTTAAAAACCATGAAAATGATTTCAACTGTTAATTATAATAAATGCAACTTAGTTCTTTTGAATAAGCTGTACAATGTGAAGCCCAATGTCACTTACCATTGCCAGGAAATATGGGAGGACGAGAATGTCAATGAAGGCTAAGAATTCAAGACAAAGACGGGAGAGTCAAGTGCCTTCTGTCATGGCCATGCGAGCTAAAAAGAAATTGCATCTGCCACAGGAAGAAAATGATGACATGCCCCCAAAGAAAATTAAAAAAAATGTTCCGGCATTTGGTGTGGTAAATTACATGCCAACCAAGCCCCCTACAGAAGACATCTCAATTCAACGTCACCGTACCTTGATGCTCAATGAGCTGAAGACCGCTCCGAATCCCAGACTAATTGAAGAGGCCATGAAGCTCACATTTCATGACCGAAGGCGGCTTATCATAACGGAAAATGTAACAGTCGCTCACGTTGCTCAACTGTATCCGGCTATTTTCAATCCAAATCAGGTTTGAGGGATAGATTGTAAATATTATATTATCATTAGCATTGGAATATTATCGTTTATTATGAGATACGCGTTTACTCATATTTCACTGCTTTTCACTCTTGTTTATCAAATATTTTAATAAAATAAAGGCTGTACTTTGCCCTCATTTCTACTTCTATTCCGCTGCATTTACATAATAATCATAGGTCATGAGTAAAATTTTATGCATTATATTTTGGACAGATACTCTTCGATTTTGAGCGCTTGACGGAGATCAACTTGATGGAAAGACTTCGCGAAAGTATGCAGATACATGGGAGAGCAATTCACTTGACGAGTCAAGTAGCCTTTCCTGACCAAAGTGATTTGGATTCAGCTCAATATGGCGGTGAGACTTCTTTTAAATTAAGAGGTACTTCGTGATCCTCTTAGATGGATTGGAAATTCGATAACGCTCTAGTGAATTGTCATGTGTCAAATTCATTTTTTTAATCTATTCATATTTATCTTATTGATTTTTTCTCGTCTCCATCTTTTTTTTCAGAACAAATGATGTCCAGTGCTTTGCTCCTTATTCCAGCACTGATGCGCGAAAAAATTAAATAGGATATGCCCTTGCTGGTGAGGAAGACTTAGATCCATAACTTTTACTAATAAAAAAATTAAATTAGTTTTTATTTATTTTGCTTTAGTGTGTTCTCAAGTTTTGTTTAAAAAAACCATGCTTGCAATCTTAAGAAAAATTAGTCTCACTTTTTATAAAAATTAAAATTAGTCTCATTTAATATAAAATTGGCCTTTGGTTTACTGGGTTTATTTGACAGGGTTCCACTATCGAGGCCGCCCCAACTCTTCATTTCAGTGACGCTTCGCTTTCCACCTCCGAAGGTATCATCCTTGCAGAAGGCAGGGAGATTTGCAAGGTATCATCACCGAAGATTTCCTGGCATGTTTTGCCACGTTCTATATCTTCAACGTGGCATATTCAAAATGTGCAAAAAAACTCAGTGCTTCATTCAACGAGTACTATAACTTGGCCTGAAGGACAGAAGCAAAGACTCTTATCGTTATCGAGACGTTACGAAAGTTGACCAGCTTTAAATAAACATTAATTATTTTAAAGCCATTGCGATGCAGTAGTTCAAATGTATCCTGGACAACAATTTTCTGTTATGTTTAATTATGTTAATTTCTACAAGTGTCATCACCAAGCCAATTTGTTAGTCATACCGACGCTATTACTAGTAGTAGTTTTCTAATTTAGTTCATTAATGCTGTAAGAGAAACTCCTTTATTTTTTCGATTAACATTTTTCGACCATCTTAACATTTTTTCAGGTGATATCGTTATTATTTTTTCTTCCTCGTCGCTGGTCATTCATCTCGCTGGGTCTTCTCTTACTGGCATGCCTCCCTGCAGGCATGTTGTGCTCTCCCTCGGGTATGTTGTGGTCTTCTTCAGGTATGTCGTGCTCTTCTTCAGGCATGTTGTGCTCTACCTCAGGCATGTTGTGCTCTACCTCAGGCATGTTGTGCTCTCCCTCAGGCATGTTGTGCTCTCCCTCAGGCATGTTGTGCACTCCCTCAGGCATGTTGTGCTCTCCCTCAGGCATGTTGTACTCTCCCTCAGGCATGTTGTACTCTCCCTCAGGCATGTTGTGCTCTCCCTCAGGCATGTTGTGCTCTACCTCAGGCATGTTGTGCTCTACCTCAGGCATGTTGTGCTCTCCCTCAGGCATGTTGTGCTCTCCCTCAGGCATGTTGTGCTCTCCCTCAGGCATGTTGTGCTCTCCCTCAGGCATGTTGTGCTCTCCCACGTCATACTGTATATGCACGGAGGACGCGACATGGTTGCCTTGAGAACTTCAAGTCTTTTATGCGATCATTTTGAGGCGACGCCGATATTTCATCCTAAACAGGTGAAAGACGTGTTCTCGCTGCAAGCTGACGAGATTTCAGCAGAATCTCCAGATGATAGAACATTTTTTCAATACATGACCGAGATACGCGAGGACGATGCAGGTTATCTGGAGGCTCCGCTCCCATTTAAGGTGCCTGACAATCGGCTGGCAGTTGGCGTTGTCGCGTTTGAAACGGGATCCGGTAAAGCTCTTCAAATGCAAAGCCGCTATGCAAAAGAGCCTAGAAAGAGGATTTGTTGAGCAAATAACGGATCACGAAATGAATGTTACCGCTGGGAAAACGTTCTACTTGCCAAGTCTTCCCAGTGTGTCAGGCCAATAAGGCGAATAAGCTCCGCTTAGTCTTCGATTCAGCCGCCGTGTATTACGGTGTCAGCCTTAATTCATGTCTGTTGTCAGGGCCGGATCAAAACAATAAACTTCTCGACGTTCTGACTAAATTCCGAGAAGAACCGTTTGTATTTGTGGCGGACGTAGAGAGCATGTTTCATGCCTTTTATGTGACCCCAGCGCATCGCAATTTCTTGCGTTTTCACTGGTGGACGGACAACGACCCCAGTAAAGAATTGACCACCTTTCGTGCCTCTCCACAAAAATCAACACTTCATCCAAGAACCTCATTGAAACACGCTCAGGACTACATCATCGACCAATTTTATTGTGATGGTGCGGTGCTTTATTGTAAGCACCGCACCAAGCCCTGACGTGGCCATCGGAACACTTAAAGCGGCAATTTCACTCTTGTCCGGATTCAAAATAAGGCTTCATAAAATAGTCTCAAATTCTCTGAAAGAGAATCCTGATAAGCGAACGGGCTATTAGCACTGACGTTTTTGATCGACTTACTACAGAATCTTTGGGTCTCGCTCGTCAAAACAAAAAACAGACCCTCACCTTCCGGGAAATTGTTACTGCTGCAAAGCTAGTGCTTCCTGGACAGCTCGCCATATCAGAAGGCGTCAAGGTTATTGCTAAATACAACACAGTTGTGGAGATTGAGAATGACGACGCAGGAGAGCAGTATCTTTGCCAAGATGAAAGGATGCTACTTGACGACAATGAATGACGTTTCCATCTCTGACGCACCGACGCATCATCGTACGTTGGGAGTTTCCTGGAACACAGTTAGCGATTGCTTCATTATTGAAATCAGTATGCCCGAGCGGCCTCACACAAAACGCGGGTTACTCTCGGTTGTAAACTCTGTTTACGACCCCATTAAATTTGTAAGCCCCGTGACCCTGGGCGGTTATCTCATTCTACGGAAGATTTTGAGCCCCTCAGACGAGCGGTCGGGCGGCGACAAACTTGATTGGGATGACCCACTACCGCCAGAACTAATTTCTTCTTGGTGTAACTGGCTCCGAAGCCTGAAAGATCTTCACCTACTCTCAATACCAAGATGCTTCTATTCATCGGAATTTGGGAAGCCTAAAATCCAAACCTTGCATATCTTTGCCGATAATGAAATTTTACCATCGGCAAACCAAACACCAGGGCCAGCACGTCACTCATTCCGCCATTCGTCAAGCCGGCTACCATATCGAAAGCGCCAAGAGCGCGCAGGGTGGCCCAGTGGTTAAAGTTCAGAGTACCAAGACTGACGCNAAGGGTCAAAAATGGAATTTCTCGGGATTGCTTCCCCGAGTCTCCTGATGACTTCTACATGTCTCTAGCGTCGTAGGAGAGCAAGGGTTCGGCTCTCCTCGCTGATTTGACTCGGCTTGGTCATTCAGTTCCCCGGGTGTCTGAAGCTGCCTGAGGCAGCCTGTCGGACGACCGTTGACGAGTGCGACGGTTGTCCAGCTCTGTGTAGACCCTGTCTCTTATACACATCTAGATGTGTATAAGAGACAGGTATAGTACTCGATTTAGAAGTAATCTGCAACTGGTGTATGGACTGTGTTCGTAAAGAAGCTGCTTTGGAACCTGATGAATTTGCCGATTGGAAGAAGAAACATCAGCCCAAGTGTAAGAAAAACTTCAATGGAAAGTCCGGTGCATTTGAAAAAGAGGCTGCAGTCAGGATCTGGAATCGATCGACTAAGCTTCGCCTTCGGTATGTTACCTTCCTGAGCGATGGGGACTCGTCCGCATTCAAGGCTGTTACTGAGCTGAATGACGGTGCAGGCCCTACGAAGTCCCTGTTGTGAAGGAAGACTGCATCAACCACGTCTCGAAGAGGTTGGGGTTGCGGCTAAGAGCGCTGAAGTCGAAGGTAGTCACCACGACGAAGGGCGGCAAGCAAGTCATTAGGAGCGCGTATGCTGGTGCAGGACTCCTGACGAACACAGTGATTGATGCTCTCACCGGATATTTTGGTCAAAATATCCGGAAGCACGACCCAAATAGTGATGTCGCCACCGTGAGAGCGTCAATACTTGCTTCTTTTTGGCACTCAAGCAGCACCGACAAGAATCCCAAGCACATAGCTTGCCGTCTTGGTGCAGACTCCTGGTGTTGGGTGCGTCGAGCGGAAGCTGCTGGAGAGGTCGCAGCTCCGCACTTAACAAAGAAACTCCACCTGTGTAACATGCCGCAAAGCTAGATCTTCTGAAAGGAATCATGGCAGTGTACGTGGACTTGACGAGTGAAGAGCTTTTGAAACGTTGCTTGAGGAAGCGAACTCAGAACTCCAACGAGAGCCTCCATTCAAAGATTAGGCTCAGTTGCTCCAAGGAAAAATTCGCTTCGACGACGCGTGTCCGCTTTGTTGCTCGGGGCACCGTCCTGGACCACAACCTTGGCTACCTGCATGGAAGTCTCCTTCGAGCTCTTGGACAGGAATCTGAAGATTTCAAGACCGTACTGACGCAAGAGAATAAGGAATTATGTACTCCCAGTCGTAAGCCGAAAAGGAGTCACTTGGATACTCCAAGCACTTCTTATGGCGCTGGTAATTTGGTAATTTTTGAATGCCCTCATTCTGAGGGTATTATATTCGTGCCTAACCTAGACCACAGTGAGGCGGTGGGACACCGATGAAAACCTCTTTCATGAGTAATAGCCTTTGCAACTGTTAATTACAAGGCGGGGATCTAGAGACTTTGCACTGGATAAAAACTATCTAAAGAGGCAACAATTTAGTTTTTTGCCTCTCCTGAAAAGTTAGAAATTTTGATACTCAAAAATTAATAACCCCTACAATTCTAAAGCTACAGCAATGAGACATATTGCAAAATGGGGGGGAGGAGGGGGGTAAATTTCGAAAATTCAAAATTTTCCAGATAAATCATAACAAGAGAAACAAAAAAAATTGAAAAAGTGATCCGACAATCGCTAGATATGATCTTCACGCATCGAATGATACGTGTCTCGATGTTGTAGCATGTGATTCACAACAGTAGTAACTTTTTTAGAGTACCCCCTTTTTGGCCGTTTTCTATGAATTTCGCGTTTTCTTTCATTTTTTTTCGAAAAATTCACATGAACAAAATTGTCGTAATTTCGATTATACATACGTGTACCAAGTTTGGAGATGATCCTTCCCTAAATATAGAAAATAGATTTTGACCTACATGCTCCCCTTGTAACAACGTCGGCAGCGGATCGCTGGCACACTGCTTCTTTTGTCCACTTTCTGAGGACTTAGTTCTTCACCACTCGCCTTACGTCCGGACGGGCAGCAGGGGCTGGCACACAGCTTGTTGGGCAGCGCGCGCTCTGCAGCGATAACGTCGTAGGCTGTGACGCGAGCAAATTCTTGCACGCAGTCGAACGGGCACGGAGCAAATGCTGCCGGCGGAGCATCGGCCGACGTTGCTCGCACAGCACAAATTTTGTCTTCAAAAACCGCATAGAATTTCTCCACGCTTAGGTCACCCGAAGCCTCTGTATGACCTCTTCCCATGAGTTTATTCCGGCCAACTCTACAGCGCTCGAGAATCGCTGCGTTGCGCGTCGACTCTCTGACGCCAGAATGACTTTCTTTTAAAACGAATAAGGTCGATATAAATGCGCCGCGCATCTCACCAGGTGGAGGCCACAGCAGCGGCAGCAGCAGGACACACATGACACCGCCCACCGAAGTAGTCGATGGTCGGTATTGCGATATCGACGATGTCGACTGGCAGACTTTGATGGTCAGCACTCGTGATGACAACGCCAGTAGTCCGCCCATGTCATGCGTCGGCAAAGTCACGTGACAAGCCATGCCGAAGGTGGCCAGAAGGTCGTTCAGCTGACGAGCCAAATGGTCTTCGACGCAATCCAATCGAATGTTAAAATCCCCGGCGATAAGGACATGATCGAGTCACAAGTCTGGTGCGACTCATCGGGCTAAGACTTAGTCGGTGCTAAGTCACAAGTCTGGTGCGAATTGAGCGACTTTCGTCGCTCAATTCGACGAAAAAATCGCGCGGCACGGCAACCGATCCAGGACGGTAGATAGTGACTGCAACAGCCGTAAAAGAGGCACAGGAGAGCCTAGCACATAGAAGCTGAGCTAAAGTGGTGTGACGTGCGCCGATGTTAAGAGCGGCAAGGTGCACGCCCCCGCCGGCGACGGTAGCTACTCCACCCTTAATTCGTCGCGTAAGTGTTCCTGTCACTTTCGTGGGAACTACCGAACTTCAGGTACGAACCTTAGGGTCACCATATGACCCCTGAAATTGTACCTTACTATGACTGAATTGCAAATATCCTGAATTTTCTCGTCATATAAAAAAATTTCACCTGGTGCATACAGGAGCCCAAGGAATTGCATTTTAAGTCAAAATCCCTCCAAATTCATGGCCTTTGGGGAACGAAAAGAAACTTGTGTGCATCAGGTACCTGATTTTTATCTCGATTCAAAAGAGAAAAATTCAGGAAACGCAGCTTGAGATGGCGAAAATAACTGGGTGTCTAAAAGTGAGAAATAATTTTCTCCCTATGATTTT